CTGCGGTGGTTACCAATAACAATTTCTGTATATACAGCAAACTGCCGAACACTTGGTCTTAAATTCCCCAGAGTAACTGTTCATGATCACAAATTTGGCTAAAGGATTTTTTTCATTACCCTCAAACATTTCCTTTCACCTCCAACCTCTAGGCAGAGCCATGGCTTTCCCTTTAGACCAGGGAACATAAAGCCATGGGGCCATCGGGGCTGGCTGTGCCTGACCCCGAGGGCCCTTCTGTCAATCACTGCCTCCCCATCCCTTGCTCTCTTTCACACCAGGCAGCTGTACCCATCGCTGTCAACCAGGTAACAACCAGCAAACAATAGAGGCCTGAATGCCTGGTCTAGACACTCTTTTAGCCACTTATTTGCTGCTCTTGGCAGCTGTTGAAGCATAAATAAGCAGTTTGTAATCAGAAAGCTGACATCATTGCAGCTCAGCTGAGAGGGGGAATTGTTGCTGTGCACTGAGCTGCTTTCCTCCCTTCCCCCCCCCTCCCCAACTCCAGCCCCCTCCCTCCTTCATTTTGTGACAACCGATTCTGGGGTGGGGATGCAGATTTCTGCTGGGCTAAGCTGGCTTTTCTTTTTATTTCTAGACTACAATGATGTTGGTTGCAGAAAATGGCATGTGCAAGGCAATGTACGTCGCAACTACCATAATTTAAAAGAAAAAAAATCCATCTTCTAATAAACAGTAGAGTCCTGTCTTACTCCTTCAGAAAGAGTTTCAAGCTTCACAAATGTTTTGAATTTGAAGGATAATATTTCAATAGATTGACCATAAACTGAGAATATTGGCACAAAATGTTTCCCTGTCCTGACTGGTATTTTTACCCCTCAGTTTTGTTTTTCACCCTGTGGAAGGAGAGAGGAGGTAAAAACAGTCATACTAGAAGTGAGCAAATACTTGCTAACAAACTCTGTTTTGTGCCAGTGTGCCTCTGTTCCTGCTTTTGAAATGCCCAGCTATGCATCTCCCATCACTGCAAACATTTGTTGTTCAACTACATTTCATACACTTTTAACACTTCTCTTTTTTTCTACTTTGGGGCTAGATCATAAACAAGTTCACCGGGCAAATTTGACACAATATTTGAAACTCAAGCTGGGTTCCTTGGGAAGGATTGGTGGGGCGAGACACGTGGCAGCGCTGCTGCTCCCTGACTGGGGGAAGACGACAGCATACCCAGTGCAAATATTTGCACATGCAAATTTAGAATTCGTTTTCCACAAACACTTGCACGTATGACTTTCAAATTAGCTTTCTGAAAGCATTCATGCTGCTAAGAAACTCTAGTTCAAATATTCATATAAAGTGAACATAAAAGTACCGCAGGTTTAGGTGATTTCTTTTTTTAATTTTTTTTTTTTAAGAAAACAGACACCAAGTTAATATTCATGTCAAAGTCTTTGCAATGTTTGCCCAATTCTGTTGTTTTCTGACTGTCCTCCTTTAATATTGAGAACTGATAGGTGTTCTTGTGGTACCAAGCAGCAACGGCAAGTTATGCTGCCTCAAACATATAGTTAAAATATGAACTTCATACTCTGCATTGCATTTAGTGCTCATTATTGATAGGAAAGTGAAGCAGAAGCAGAGTGTGTAACCTTTACAATATGTAATCCATACCAAGTCCCAAAGGTTTTCCCCGAGTTTCATTCTGTCTGTCCTGGTGATGACAGCGGCAATAATGGGAAAGAGGCAAAGGGCTTTCTGAAGGGCTTTCTCTCCCCACTGTTGTTTATCTATCTCTGTGCACTTTATGCATGCTAGCAGTAAGGGAGCTGAGCTTTCTTATTCTTGTGGAGCAGAACTCACATTCCACCAGTGATGTCTCAAAGTCTGATCTGACTGCCTGTTGGTACACAGAGTCAGGATGAATGCCGGTGTCTGTGGGGTTCACCAGCTATCTGAAATGTCTTCAGATAGTTCTATCTGTCTCTGGTTTCAGCAAGAAAGAAGGCCAGTTCAACAAAAATATTGACTTTGTATCTCCCAAAGGCTTTCTAGTATTAGTTTGCTCTAAGTAGCTCATGATTTAGAGTACAAAGGCATTTCCAGAATGCATGTTTAACAAAATGACATAGCAGATAATTGAAATTTATTTGCAATTTTCAAACTACAATAAACACAATTCTCCTTTTCTTTCATTAATAATCGCACGGCTAATGCATAACAATCCCTCTGCAGCTTTTACAAGCAAACTTGAGCTGCTGTGTTGTAATAGCTGGAAAAGTTAATGTAGCTTGAACAAGGTTCCTAATTGTCCCTGTCTCTGTCATATTTGTCTACTTGAATGGTCCTAAATACCACAGCGATTAATTACTACAGAGCAGGTATTACAAGATGTTATCATCCTTCCCCAACTGTCTGGGTGAATGGAGAGAGGCAGTAGATTGTTGCAGTGTTTCATCTTTGCACTTCCTGTAAGGCACTTTAACCAGAAGATTTAATGTGTCAAAGTTAACTGCATTCTCGCACAGATATTCACATTCTAATTAAAGATTAAGAACGTAGTACATTACACTGTGATTTGTCATACATGGCTTGTTAAATAGGAAACCTACCGGGATTCCCTAACATTTTATAAACATTATTCAGGGCTTTTAATGTGGGCAAAGGAAAAGATTATTCAGCTGCTCTGCAGAGTAGGAGGCAGGTCATTTTTCCCTCACTCCTCCATCCTGCCCAAGCTTCCCCTTTTCCAAATAAATAAATAAGAAAACTCAGGTGGTTTTCAAACTGGAATTCTGTTGAGATCTCTTTAAACTATTTATCTTCCCAGCGTGCATGTGTGCACATGGATATATATATATGTATATATTTATATATATAAGTAGAGAGAGACAGAGAGAGAGAGAGAGAGATAATATATATGTCTTCATTATTTTTTGGCATTTTTCAACTTTTGCTGTCAGCTATGTAAACTGAGGTAGGAAGTCTTTGTTTGAATTACAGTGGCAAAGGAAGGAAGAAAGATGAAACAGTTTTTCAATATGCAGAATGTGCTTTCAGATTATTCTAGCAATGCTGAGCAGCGTACCACTTCCAGTATTAGTAGCAGAGGACTGGTTCACATTCTTTGATTGCCTGAGGAATAAATTAATGAGGTTACTAGAGACATTGAACATTTGCATATTCACGGATGCTTATTAGGTATAAAGTGAATGCCAGGTGCATTGAATTTTGGGAATACTAGCTATGTATTTGGTCTTCTATTTTTAAAGCAATCACATCTTGCTTTTTCCCTAAAGTGGGAAGTTCTGTGAGTGGAAAAAAAGCAGCATTTATAAAAATAATAACACTCAAAAAAAAAAAAATTAATTCAATACAGATGAAGATTTGCTATAAGATATGCATCAGAAAAAATAAAATACAGCAAGAGGCTAGGGACTATCTGAATATCTTGTTTGGAACAACAGTTAGGATGATTACAAATATAAAAACAGTTGTTCCAAGACATAAGGAGAACAAATGTTATATTTTTCACTGTGCTCCTTATGGATTTCTAGCTTTAAATAGCAGTAGGAAAACTCATTATGAAGTTACCTTCCATGACGTCCAATGCTTAATTTTTAAAACATCAATATTTTCGCACATTTTGTTCCAGCAAGTCTCAAACTCAGGCTGCAAAGCGCAGAAGATAGAATTACAAAATTTGCTCGACTGTTTCTCCAAGGAGTATTTGCACGTGGTTGCATTGTTGTCAGTGGCTTCCGTCATCGCAGTGTGAAAGCACATTGTGTGAATGATTTGCACTGTATCTCATTATTCCTGCAAGTTTTTATCTATATTGCTTATTTGGGATCTTGCATTTTTGCATTCTGAAAGATTCTATGGTATTTGGGTTTTTGGGGTTTTTTCCATCCCATTCTTTAGCTGTCCATAATCTATATAGAGTGCAGCATTAGCACTGCTTGTCCCAGCAGAGAAATATCTGTCAATTGAAAACATGGTTTGTTTGTGCTGCCTTTTACTTCTCCTTTACAGTGTAAGCATCAAGCATGTACTTGTGCACAGACTACAGGCTTACATGCCCTGCACACAGATAAATGCAAACACACATTCCCACACAGATGTGCACTTACAAAATTATTGGTATCACCTACTTCCAAGTAGCTGGTGTAGCAAAATCAAGCAGTGATAAGTGTTTTCTATGGATAATAATATGTATCTACAAACAGGCTCCCTTCTGCCCCCTTGTTTCACAGAATATTGTGCTCAACTTCCCTTTCCTGGATGTTGCACTGTGCTGATCACTGCCCTGCCTCTGCAAATCCTATTTGAAAATCTCATTTGCAGCATAACTGACAACAAAGGCATTACACGGTGTATGCCCTGCATTTTCTGCAGACTATTCCTTGCCTTTGTAAGTTATTTCTAACTTCTAATGAAAATACTGTGTGATCAGTTGATGATCTTTTTTATTTATTAATAGTCTGTAAAATTAAGTGTGTCTAATCAAAGAATGGGTCCTTTTTTAAAAGTGCAAGGTGGAATGCATTAGATCAGTGGTACAAAAAGCAGATGTTCTTTACTGCAGTAGGCCTTTCTTTAGATACTCTAGGAAACAGGGACTTAAAAATTAAATTGACGAGGATTTTGGGGTGGAATCACTCCCAGCCACTGCAATACACAAAAATCGTCTTGAGATATACATTTTCCTTGCATTTGTTTCCAAACTGTAATTCTGTTCCACAATTAAAACAAAACAAAAAAAAACCCAGAAAAATTATTTGATATTTCAGTTTCTCAGGGCAGCTTCTGAATAATTACATGCAAAGTGATCTATTAGGTATTTATTGAAAATAGTATTGCAAAGCACAAATGTGCATTTTTTTTTCAGGAAGGTCATTTTTTAAAACATCCTTTGTAGCTGCTTCACTGACGTCCAGGGGTTTTTGCAATCCACACGGCACAGATTTTTTTGATTATGTAGATTTTTTTTTTCCTCCTCTATTGCAGTTTCATATGCAAAGCATGCATCAGCCACATCCATGCTATCTCCTAAAGCAGTCATTCTGAAACCCAATCTGGGGACAGTGCAGACTAAATAAAATTTCATTTTGATTTGGCCTCCCGCTGAGAATGGGACTGCTTTGTTTCAGCCGACAGAACCAGCAAGCCAGAAAGGTATGTCCTGTTTTGCATGGCTGATGGTGTGACTTGAGGATCACAATCAGGCCGTTCATGCTCTCAGGGCTCGGCATCTCATCCACATCCTGTACCGTCTTTCTCTTTTCCTTGCCATTTGCTTTCCTTCTGTGCCGCCTGCCGTCTACCTGCAGGGCAAAGCTATGGCAGACCCTCACACTATTGTTTACTTTGGCATATGTTTAATAGCTGCATGGCTGTTTCAGGGTAGGGTTTTTCTATTCCCCCCCACCCCTTCCCTCCCGCCCCCTTCCCCCTTCGCCTTTGTTTTTTCCCTTCCCTATCCACATTCACTTTCCTTATTTTCTAGGTGTTGAATACACAAATACTGACTTAACAGAAAATTATGTAAGTACCGCTTGCAATGCTTCAGAGATTTTACTAGGAGATCTGTAATGCAGAATTTTATTGTGAATCTGAGGAAACATTTAACAGCTTTGAAGGACTTCAGTTTTCATAGCCCTTTAGAGAGGTTTAGGCAGAAAAGCAGTCACACGTTACAGTTAGTAGGAAAAAAATAAAAACACTCTTTTTAAGGGGTCTGGATGCTTTGCCATCCTCACATGCCTTGCAATTACAGCTGCGGCATTTGGCATGGGGAATATCAGTAAATATTTCTTTATCTAAATATTAGTATTTATCTTACAGCCAGCTTGCATTACAAGAGAGAATGTACAGCACTTTTCTTGCTGCTGCTACCCAATTTTACAGAGATGTTGGCATTGGGGGATGACCTCTGTTTTAGCCTCTGGACCATCTTTTAAACAGGGCACCAGGACTTCTGAAAGACTCCTTATGATGTAAACTTACTCCTCAAAAGTGTACTTGTCTGATAAAGATGTGCTATCCCCTGTCTGTGATTTTTATTTTTTTTTAGGGGGGAGAAGTTTTTAATGTCAAAATTAGCATTAAATTTACCTCAAACTAAGGGCAGATTTTAGTTTTGCTTACAGTTTATTTTAATATGGATAATGTCCTGTTTTCTTTGTAAGGTAGACTAGAATTATAACTCCAAAGAAAGATGCAATTCTTAACAAAAAAAAAAAAAAAACAACCAAACTAGCATGTCTTTTAAAGCACTGACATCATATGCAAATTTATATCTTCATGGTGATTTAAACACAAAATTATGATTTCTGTGTGCAACATGATTTTGTGCTGGGTGATATAAGTAACAGCAAGTTACTCAGCAAAGTCTTATGGAATGTAGATGGTCAATTACAACACTCTCTGCACAGCTTAGCAAGTTTTGTTCCCAGTTTTTATATGTTACTTCAACTCCACGTCTTTCATCAGTTTCTGAATCTCCAAAATGACCAGGGATGCAGATCTTTGGCAAAACCACACATATCCTCTCATGGCAGAGTTTTGTGACTTGAGAATTCTCTTCCTTCCTAGCTTGGTTAATTAAAAAAATTAAAAATCAACAAATAAATAAATAAAAGAATATGTGAGTTGGGGAATGAAGGCAGATCCAACCAAAGTTTGGAGGAAAAGAGGTAAAAATAAGATGACTCCTTGGCTTCCATGTAAGGGAGGGTATGACAAATTTCAGTTTCAGCTACTACATTCACCTTGATAAACCACAACAGGATTTCCTGTACCTGGCAGGATCCAGCCCTTCATGTTTTGCTATTCAGAGATATTTATAAAGTCAAATGAAGTTTAGGAAAAACTTAAAGAAGCTAACTGTACTGATGTCACATTTTCTTTAAAAATTTTGAGGTTCTAGAGAAATTACAAAGCAGCTAAATTTATAAGAAACAGGAACTACAGCTTTTTAAAAGGATACAGTAGGGAAAATGATCAGTTCTGTGGGGTTTCACTCAGTATCTCTAATCCTCCTGCTTCACCCCTCAGGTATGATTGGGAAGTTTTCCAAGTTACCACTTCTGCATTTTAATCAGAGTTTACAAAAATTAGTTCCAATTTTATATTTACCATCATTTCATTTTAACAAATAAATACAAGTTTTAAGGGAAGCTAAAATCAGTACTTTATTACAGAATATCCCAGTTTGTTTATGTCAGAACTCACAGTACTGGCAAGATATTTGTTCCAGAGAGTATAGCTGAATTGAAATTAAAGTAGATTAAATAAATGGTTACACGTGCATGAGTTGCAAATATATGACATTTTAATGTAAAATACTCAAGGAAATTAACAAAAGTATTGTATCTTTATTTGCGGGGATGTACTACTTTTTAAATGAGTGATATTCATTATGCTAAAGTAAAATAATCTTAACTCCAGAATGTGCTTACTGTTCTGAATAGCTTTTTTATTAATTATCTGACTGTTGTATTTAATTGGGAATTAATGCAATTTTATTCTGGTACTCTTTGGAAATCTGAGTTCCTTTTTTAGGTTGGTTTATTAGAGCTATATCTTGCAGTCATATTCTGGAAAAGTAGAAGAGGTGAGTGGGTTTTGGAAGCTAGTTTTGTATTTATCACTTTCACAGAAAGAAAACTGTAAAAATATCAGCCCAAAGTCCAGAAACAAAGACTTCATTCTTTGATAGACATATAAGGTTGCTGTCAGTGGACATCTTAGAGCTCTTTCTCTTAGAAAGAACTAACCTAAGAAAGAACCTAACTATAATTCACTATAACTGGGGGGAAAAAAACAAACAAACAAACAAAAAAAAAAACACCCAACAAATCAAAACCAATAAACCAAAGCAAACCAAACCAAAAGCCAAGTATTTGATCATGTAATAATACTTTTGTGTATAATTTTTTTTAATGCGAAGGACTTAGGAATTCTAAGTTTTTTCATTTTTCTCACACATTTTTTTGCTTTACCTGAATGAGGTGGTATGGATGAGATAAGTCGTATACATGCCCAGACACCTTTGGAGAAAACAGATCATCTCAAACAGAGAATATATAAAAAATGGGAAATTTGACAAACACACTCAGGACACCATTGCTTACTGGTTATAGTACATATACATGTATGTAAATTGGCTCCATGATGCTACATATGTATATGTACATGTAGATATATGTATACATTGTAAATATCTTTTTACAAATCCAGAGAATGAGAAAGAGAGGGATGGAGGGCACTGTCACCAAAGCTCCTGGGCCCCATCAAAGTCACATGGGCAAGTATTTTTGCTGTGACAAAATCAAGCATGACCTGTGCATTAGCTGATCTCCAGCCTATCTGAATTTCTCAGAAACTTCACAGCTGATTGTCTCAGGAAATTATCCTGGAACAAATTCATGGTTTCCCGATGTTAACATCTGCCTAAAAACTTGCTGACGTCAATGGGATCCCACAGATGAAAATCTGACTGCAAGATCAGGGCCTAGATTTTTGGTAGTAGCCCTTTGGCCAAGCCAAAGCTAAGTAACAAATGTGGGGGAAAAGGTGGCAGAATTCTGTGATAACACTGGACATGGAACCTGCCAGCAGAATTAATAGGCAACTCATTCTCATTGAACTCAAACTCCTCGTACTGATGTTCTTGCTTTATACACCTGATTTGACCAACACCAATAAAAAAGGTCTAAAAAACTGGGAGAAGATACTATAAAATTGCATATCAAAGGGCAATTGACTAGCAGCAGATACTATAAAATTATATATCAAAGGAAAGCAGTAATATCCTGTCAGCAAGTATGAGCATAGGAACCCATTGTGTTCACAGTCCTACAGGGTTAAGGAGCAGAATTGCTTTACTCTGGGATATTTTTACCCAATCTCCTTAGATACAATAAAAGCAAAACTCAAAGTTCATTTTTTTTTAAAAAGAGAAAAGTTAATCGTAGGCTTACTGATGAAGTTCACTGAAGTAACAGAATGTTAAAAAAATTAATGCCGTTGCTTATCCCTTCATTTGATAATGTTTCAGGCTTACAGAAAGTTGCATTTATTGCTCACAAAAAAGCAAAGCAGGGGCTTTCTTAGATTTAAGGATGTATTCTCTACTATAAGAAGGTATTCTTCCTATAATTATTGTTTTAAATAAAAATTTAGTAAAACGATCTAAGTAGCTGATCAAATGTCTGAGTGTAAAATGAAAATAAGCTTTGGACCAAAGCTAAAAAAACAGAGACAACAAGCTGGCATTAACTTTGTCTAGGAGTAGAGGCAGAATGAAAGCTTAGCTCAGTAGCTACTGAGAAATTTAATATTTCCTGAGTGGGGAGAGAAGGAAGTTTGGAAACTGTAGGAAAAAATTGACCAGAAAATCATGTTACTTGTAACCTATACATGCCGCTGGGATTTCCACTACTGGGATGACCTTCTCAGAAAAAAGCTGCACCCAGGTAAACTGTTTCTAAGTACATTTTGACAGCTATTCTAAGAACAGAAATCTTGGCAATGTGCATCTTGAAAGATTGTCTGAACAAAAAAATGCATAATGGCCTCCCATGTAACCAGGAATATAAATGTGTCAAAATGTTACTGATTATATTTAAAAAAAAAAAAGAAAACTTGTATTAGCCAACTATTTATCAGTCTTTTCTTATTAAAGGTTGAAAGAATATTTTTGTCTCCAAAAGAAGGGTTAGATGGAAGAAATTATTAGTGAATGTCTAATGGATGTTATATAAACCAAAAATGGATTACAGATTAATAGAAGCATCTTCTCCTTCATTAAGTGTTCTTTACCCGATGGGGTGGAGAAGGTTAGGTTATAGCAGCATTATGTCCTCACAATAAAAATACATTTAATCTCCTAGTGTCTACTGCAACTGGTAATTCATTGTATATAATTTTCTTTATTTTTGAAACCCTATCCATCTACCAGCTGTCTGACAAAAACAAGCATGAAACATTCTTTTGAGAAAATAAACTTTTGAGATTATTTGCATTCAATGGGAAAATTCCACTACTAAAAGAGTATTCATTAAATTTTTCTAGTGATGGACAAATCTCAGAAGATTCAGACAATTGTTTCAAACTTGTATAACAATATCAATGTTTGTCTACAGTGTTTCAAAAACTGTCTCTGTCCTCATTTTATCTAGGAACCTCCAAATAATCAGAATTTTAGTTGTTCATTAATGATGTCTAGTTTTACTTCTGGCCTCTCTTGAGGTTCCTTTACTTTATCAAGCAGAGCAATATTTCCTCATGGGTGACAGACTACATTTCAGAGGAAATTAATCCATTTTCCAATATGTTTCTTTCAGAAGTAACCCACAAAATCTTGATGCAGAGGGCAGCTACAGGAGGTACTAAGAAACCCTTTCTTCCATAGGTTTTGTTGTTTGGTTGGTTGGTTTGTTGGTTGGTTGGTTGGTTGGTTGATTGTTTTTTTTTTCTTCTCTCTCCCCTGAATAAAAATTTACCTTTGTATGTGTAGTGTTCTTACTTCTGTGTAGGTA